CAGCCGGATAGCTGTGCTGGACCAATGTCAGATCAGTAGGCCAGAGTTCAAATCCTATCTGGGGCTGAACACTAAAAAGGGAGAGACAGGGAAAAGACACAGGGTAAAAGAGAGACTTGGGGGAGAAAAAGAGAGGAGAGAAAGATACAAAAAAAGAGACATGGAAAGAGAACTGATCTATGGAGATCCACAAGGTTCAAAAACTGTAAATTTTCAATAACTAAGTTGCACCATTGTATTTTTGGCAAAATCAATATTTATACAAGTCATTGTCAATGACACGTCCCGTTCCGTTCATATTTGAGTGACATATACATTCAAAGCAGATCATGACCGAAATCTCAGACCACTTTCAGTGGTCTGATCTGAAATGCATCTGCATATGTACAACACATTGTATGTGTGTGGTCTTGATCGGTTCAGGCATGCCTGAGATATGGATGCTGAACTGTATTCAGTTAAAACCCGATTTGGAAAACAAAACAACGTGATTCAAGGTACCATAATGTACAATGTATGCATGAAGTGTGAACTAAATTCACCCATGATGAATATGTACAATTTTGACGAATGTTTGACCTTTGATGGATGTCATACACCCATCTTAAATCAGATCTTGACCCACCTAACATGCATATATGTGTGTACAACATGTATGATGTATGTATGACACTTGAACTTGATCAGTCCAGGCATGCCTGAGATCCGGTTCCGGAATTGTGAAAATATGTGATTTTGATGCATTTTCGGCCTTAAAATGGCCATCATTCAGCTATTGTTAAGCGGATCATGAAACAAATGCACATATCTATTTGTGACATGATGTACTATGTGTGTGTGAAGTTTGAACTTGATCAATCCAGACATGTCTCGGAAACGGAACCAGAACTGAATTCTTTAAAACAAAATGGCCGCCAGTCGGCCATTTCAAACTTGATCCGAAAAAAAAAAAAAATGACGTGCATCAAGGTCCTATTATGTTTAATGTATGTACCAAATTTGAACAAAATCCGTCCATGCATAACTGAGATCTGGGTCCGGAATGGTGAAAATGTGCGATTTCAATGCATTTTCGGCCTTAAAGCGGCTGCCATTTGGCTATCGTTAATGAGATCATGA